ATGTGAGGAGCAACCACATTATATTTAGTGGTAACAATTTCCCTCTTTTGGTTATCTTGATTTGGGATTTTTCTATATATGTTAAGCTCATAAATAAGATGTTTCTAGTCTCCTTTTGTCAGAATCACACCCAGCACTAGCAGTCTAACCAGTCTGAACAGGAAGGCATCATCTTTGATTTTATGATGCTCTATTAAAAGAAATGTGATGAATTAACTAGATTGTCTTTATACCTGACAAACTGATAAGGGAATATCTTGGGATATTCATGTTCAGAAAATAATTTGGAGAAAGGTGTCACTCAAGGAGACAGCAGGTGTTGGTTGATCCTGTATATCTGTCAAAGGTGTGCTTGGTCCAGGAAATCTATTAAAACGGGGACTGTAGAGTGGTTGTGTTAAAGAATGTGAAATTGATACTGGAAATTGCCCAGTTAGGGGCTGAGGGGTAGGTGTATTTGAACCCCACATCTATCCATATGTCTGTGTCTTAGACTTAAATGTACTCTTTGAGAGCAGAGTTGGGACTGTGGGGGCCAGCCTGTTGTCCTGCATGTAGTGAGCATGCAATAGACTCAGCCCCGTTCCTCTGTGAGTGTGCATCTAGTCTGAGATGGATGGAGAGCATAAAGGAAGCAAGATGGGCAAAGAACAAGTGCACTGGAGCCTGGGAGGTGGGAGCTCGCTGTGTTGTGGTTTTGCTTTTGTTTCCAGGCTTCCTAGGGATGACACCACAGGCCCAGAGTTTGCAGTAGAAATCTGACTTGATGTGAAACACAACTTGAGACAGAAGATTTCACTCTGTTCACTGAACAAGTGTCAGCTGGTGGGGAAGAGTCTCATGCTTGTTAGTTTTATTTTTATTGAGAAATACCAGAGTTCATAGGAAGGGTCAAGTGGGGCTGGGAAATCTGGGTACTCTGGGTTCTTGTTGTCCTGAGCACAGAGTTCACTGAAGTAGTGTCAGGCTGTAAATATGGGGAGGAGAAAATCCCGGGGCAAAATGCCTTTGAAACTGGTATCAGCCAAAGGGAGAAGTAAAGTTTAAAACCCATTTATTGCTTACAAGGAGTCATCCTAAGTCTCTCTTTCCTGCTGTGGCAGAAGTGAATGAATGCTCTCCCCAGCTTCTCAGGTCCAGATAAGCCCTCGCTTTGAGACCTTGGGCCCATTATTTAAATCCCTCCGTACCTCAGTTTTTCATCAGTAAAATGGGGTGTATTAATTGCATTATCTCATTGTGCTATGTGAGGATTAGTACATCTCTTTTTGTATTCTGTGTGATGAAATAGAAGGGACTGTGCTTCATACCATTGTACAATGGTTGTCTCCAGGAAGAATGCTTCTATGTGATTATTGAGTTGCAAGCTAAACTAGCCTTCCCTCCCACCCTCCCCATCCCCCCATGGAATAGCATTTTTAGTTGAGAGAACAGTTGATTTAAAGTTATTCAGGTAAATGTTTTTCTGAAAATAAAGTATTGCCAGCTTCAATATCTATCCTGCAGAACCACAGCTGGCAATGTTTGTTGCCAGTGATAAAGTCCATGCTTTCTTGCAAAAACTAGAGTTTTGGAAAACTTGTATTTGCTACCTGAGTTTGACAGTTTGTAGTACTTAAAGACTTTTCTGATGAGATGGGGCTGATTTAAAATTTTTTTATAATAAAATATATAAACATTTAGAAGATCTACCTAACTCACTGAATAAATATTTTTTTGAATGACTAACATGTAATGTTATAAAACCTTGCTTGAATAGAAAATCCATTCAAAGTACAAGATAGTCCAATGGATTTGTAATGTAGCAGTACAAAAGATTCACTGGGCCACCATCCAAAAGACAAACAACAACAAATGTTGGCAAGGATGTGGAGAAAGGGGAACCCTCCTACACTGCTGGTGGGAATGTAAATTAGTTCAACCATTGTCGAAAGCAGTGTGGAGGTTCCTCAAAAAACTAAAAATAGAAATACCATTTGACCCAGGAATTCCACTCCTAGAAATTTACCCTAAGAATGCAGGAGCCCAGTTTGAAAAAGACATATGCACCCCTATGTTTATCGTAGCACTATTTACAATAGCCAAGAAATGGAAGCAACCTAAGTGTCCATCAGTAGATGAATGGATAAAAAAAGTGGTGCATATACACAATGGAATATTATTCAGCCATAAGAAGAAAACATATCCTACCATTTGCAACAACATGGATGGAGCTAGAGGGTCTTATGCTCAGTGAAATAAGCCAGGCAGAGAAAGACAAGTACCAAATGATTTCACTCATAAGAACAAAGAAAAAACTGAAGGAACAAAACAACAGCAGAATCACAGAACCCAAGAATGGACTAACAGTTACCAAAGGGAAAGGGTCTGGGGAGGATGGCTGGGAAGGGGAGGGACGGGGGGGGAAAAGGGGCATTACTATTGGCAGATATAATGTAGAGGGGGCACGGGGAGGGCTGGCTGTATAACACAGAGAAGACAAGTAGTGATTCTACAGCATCTTACTATGCCGAAGGACAGTGACTGTAATGGGGTATGTGGTGGGGACTTGATGATGGGGGGAGTCTAGTAACCATAATGTCACTCTTCCTTGGCTATGTGATACTAGACAAGTTATTTAAACTTCCTTGCCTTTGTTTTTGTATCTTCAAAATGGGGAGAAAACGGGATTGCTCTGAATATGGAGATAATCTCTTCTAAGGCACCCGGCTCTCAGTTCCTGGTATTTGGTAATTGTTGAATAAATTGATAGTTCTGTCTGCATTTCTACTATTGGGGTCATTTCAACCCCAAACAACCCCATGGTAACCTCCTTTAGTGTGTGTGTATATCAGAGACTTAAGAGTCAGGAATCTCTCAATCTCTGTTAGGCCTGCAACAGGTTTTTTAGTAAATGCCTGTTAAACAAATGAATAAGAAAATTCTAGAGAGTACCTTTAGAATAATCCTTGATTATTTAGGAACTAACCTCAAGTGCTTGGCTTACATACAGTTCAGTAGTGATGGGCTCTGTCAGTAGCAGTTTTAGCATAAAATTAAAGAACACCTGTGGAACAGAGAAGACCCTACTTGTCCTGTTCCTGGCTGAGCCCCACATATGAACTTTGTAACCTTAGCAAAGTTGCTGCTTGTAATAGTTTCACCATTAAGAAAAAAAAGCGATGAAATGCTGAAATCCTACTGTAGGATTTCAAGTTCAAGCCAGAGCAAATCTCAGTTTTTTTTTTTTAAGACACAGGTGAAGGGAGGAAGTGAGAAGAGCAAGGATGACCCAGTGTCTGAAAATCAGAAGTTATCAAGTAGGTAAATCGGGTAACCATTTGAGTTGAAAAGGAAATTTTCATTTTCAGAATTCATTGACCACATAATAGCAATTTCAGTGTAGAGTATTAACTCTTTAATACCTCAACTATTAACTTAAGGTTGTGGCTACACTGTATCATTCTTCTAAACTTTGAATTCTCTCTGATCTAGGTGCCAAATGCTTTGAAATCCAATGTGGTACTTAAATCATTTTTCTAGGCTAAGGTAAGCTGTCATTCTTTTGAGTTCTGACATGTGTTCTTACTACAGAATCTGGTAAAGTCATTCTCGTTTTGTTGGGGAAGCAGAAGCAACCTGAGTTTGTGGCCCTAGGTTCAGGCTTAGGAGCCATGCAGGCTGGCTTAGGCCTTGGCTTCTCCACCTACAGGGCTTTGGCCTTAGACTGATCACGATTCCCCGTTTCACATATGCAACTTGGAGAAGTAGTATCTGTGCCATGGGCTTGCTGGTGTTGCAGTGTGCTAGGTATTTAGTGCAGTGTGTGGAAAAAATTACGGTGTGTTTTCTCCTGCTGAGGCATGGCACCAGCACAGATAGGAGAGTTTGTGTTGTAGAGAGAAGGTTGGTGTGTGAACCTCTTGCTATTTCAGTGCTTTGTATATTGAGTCATATGGCACATGTTTATTGGTATAAGTTCATACTGATTGTCTGAGGAAAGAGCATTAGATTTGAGTTGGAAGAACTAGCTCCAGTCCTTGCTGTCTTACTTTGGACAAATATTTTTATTTTTCTCAGCTTCAGTGTCCTTATCCATAAAATGAGAATAATAACAGCTGCCTCAGAAGACTGCTGGAGTGATTAAGTGAGACCCCAAGAGTTCTTGATGCCCAGTGAGCCCTAATAGATCAGAATACTTCAAATTTTCTTAATAATAATTAACATTTCTGCCTATGTGCTTACTTTTGACTGAAGCTTTGAATGTTAGTCTTTCATATAATTTTCATATCACTTGATTTAAGAAGAACTAAACAGACTACATTGTACTTTGGGCATAAAGGTAGGTTCTGGGAAATCTGGGTAGGTAGGAATAACAGCTTCCTTAATCTTTGGAGCTATTGGACTAATCAGAAGGAGCCATCAGGATTTTTTTTACAGGAAGGATGAGAGTTTTATGGGGGGAGTGGGCAGGGATCAGGATTTGGGCTTTAAGAAGGAGGTTGATGATGGGCTGGAGGCCAAGATTGCTGTCAGGGCTAAAAGGGTATTGGTTAACTGTAACAGGTTGAGTAGGGTCTTTCAGGGCTATTCTGAGGGGTTAGTGGTGTGAGGCTATACAAGGGTTTTTTTTATGTCCCAAACAATAGGGTCAATTTATGATTTAATAAGCTGTACCACCTCAGAGGGGAGGGCCTCTTTTGAGGGTATAACTGGGAGAATGAGGGAGGGTTCCAAGGAAAGTGAGGGAATGTGTAAGGATGCCCCCCATGCAGTGGAGAATATCTCTTCCCAGAAGGGTTGTGGGGCAGAGGGGGATTACCAGAAAGTAGTGAGTGAAAGTAATGTGGCCCAAGGAACAATATAAAGGAGGGGTTTGGGCTAGTGTTTCTATTAAGCCTTTCATTCCAACAACCAAGAGAGGAGGGGAGCAAAGGTCCCGAGTATTCAGTAAGCACAGAGAGACTGGCTCCCATGTCAACCAGAAAGGAATCCTGCCTTCCTGCCACCACCATTGTTACCTGTGGATCTGCTGGTGTCCTCCTGGAGGGGGCCTTGGGATCTGGGCCAAGTCAATTAGTCCCTGAAAACAAGGACATGAGTGCCGCCAGGTCCTCTCTAGATGTGTCTGGTTGCCTGGAGGGGAGAGAACTCAAGGGAGGGGCTGACTTCCCCAGAGGGCAATCCACTCTCCAGTGACCCCACTGTGTGAGGTTTGGACATGGCTTTGTTGGAGGCCTGGGATCAGGGCAAGCTCTTGCCCAGTGGCCCTGACTGCCACAGCAGAAACTGTTGCTAGGTGGGTGTGGGGTGTGCAGCCTTTTGCAGGCTTGTCCTCAGGAGGTCGAACTAGGGAGGCCTGAATCTGATATTCGTCTTCAGCCTGTCTTTCTTTCTGAGTTTTTGTTCCTCTTCCTGGTTGTTGAGAACTTTAAATAAAAGCAAGGTCTGCAAGCTCTTTCTGGGGTGTTTGGGGTCCATTTTCTAATTTTTGGAGCTTTTTACGAATATCTGGGTAAGACTGGGAAATGAAATGGAGGTATAGGAGAAAAAGGCCCTCAGGGGAGTTAGGGCTGGTGTATGTGTATTTGATCATGGCCTCTGAAAAGCTGTTCATAAAGAGGGCTGTGTTTTCATCTGCTTCCTTGGTAATATTTCTGAGGCGCTCATAGTTGACCTGTTTATTTTTATTTCTTTCCATCCCTGCCAGGAGGCAAGTGATCATGTGATCACGACCTGCCCTCCCAGGGTCACCGAGTGGGTATGTCCACCCAGGGTTCTGGGGCTCAGCCCTGGGGACCGTTCGAGTTACCGGAGCACGATTAGGGTGCTGGTGCTGCAACTCGTCAGCATGGTTTCCAGCTGCATACCAGATGTGTTCCCTCTCCTCATCTCTGAGGGTGGACGAGGGGATGAGGTAAATGTCCTTCCAGGTGAGGGTGTACATTGAGTAACGCAGAGGACTTCTTTCCTGAATTTATCCGGGTTTTCTCAGAAGGACCCCATCTTTTGTTCAGTATGCTCCAGATCATTAATAGAAAAGGAGACGTGAACACGAACGGGCCTTCCAGTGTCAAGTTCCTCCCTGAGGGGTGGGAGAGGGTGAGGAGCAGTCTGGGGCGGTGCTGGGTGGGAAGTGGGAGTGTGAGAGCCTATCTGAGGGGGGAGAAGGGGGGTTTGGAGAGGGGGTTGTGTTAGAAGAGGCAGAAGGGCCTGGGGAGCTGAGGGCAGGGAGGGATCTGGCTCTGCTGAGGCTGCCGCAGTGGTCGGGGGAGGACACCGAGGCGGTCGGGGTGGGGGGCGGGAGCTGTCAGCCAGGTCCAGCTTGTCAGTGGAGGGAACAGGTGGATGGAGGCGCGATGCCCTCAGGGCAGGGGGAGGGGATTTTTGTTCTGGCAAGGAGAATTAGGGGGTTTTTGTTCAGCGGGGGGAGATTTAGGGGATTTTTGGTCAGTGAGAAGTATCTGAAGAGAGGAGAGGGAGGAACAAAGGGAGGGCTCATGGAGGATGAAGAAAGCTTGGACATGGGGAACCTCTGCCCATTTGTCAGGCCTCTGGAGGAAGTTATTAAGGTCTTGGAGAATTTGGAAATCAAAAGTGCCCTCAGCTGGCCAGCATGACCCGTTACCAAGTTTGTATTGGGGCCACATGGAGGTGGAGTAAAAGATCAATTTTTCTTGCTTAATTTCTCCTTTAATCATAATTGGGAAAGATGACATAGGAGACAGCTGAGGGGGGTGTCTCCCGATGTTTCTGAGGGAGAATTGCCCATCGTGGGGGGTGAGAAAGGGTGGCCAAGGTTGGGAAGCAGACTGCTGGGACCTCTCACTGCTACTACTGGCTTTCCCACTGGAGTCCGTGGGCTCCTGGAGCTGGATGAGATTGTCCTGCATGCTGAAAGGAGGTCCCCCTGGTCAGAGTGCAGGAGGTCCCCTTTTCTTATGGTGTTCTCAAATGGAAACAGCGAGGAAGGGAAAGGATAAAAGGGAAAAGGGAAAGGGGACAGCAGATCAACTTTCTCTGGGTGCCAAGAGAAAGCCAGTGAGGCCAGAATCTCACTCTCCTGGGCATGGTGATGGATTTGTGGCTTGTGGTAGGTGTGTAGACTGAGGTCTGGCAGGACAGTCCTGGAGTTCATAAGAGGGGTGTTGCTTGGGTGAGGGAGGGAAGGGAAATGGGGTGAGACACAGGAGGCCCTCAGGATCTAGGAGTTTGCCCAGGAGGAGCTGCTGCTGCCCACTGCTTCCCAGGTTGCAGAAGGGCTCCTGCTCTCAGCTCCCACTCCTGGGTTTTGGCACCAGATAAAAGGAAAAGAAGGGCCTCAACAGTCCACACAGCTTTATTGCTAGACCTGAGAGGGACCCCTCTGTTCTTGCAAGCAGAACAAAGAAGGCCTCTCTTACAGGCTAAGAGGCCTTTTATAGCATCTTTTTGGCAGGGGGTGTTGCTTGTGACTTGCTGATGTGTCCTCCAGAAAATGTTTGTAGCCTAAGTAAAATGAAACCTAAGTCTCTCTGAGATGGTGGGTGGGCTTATTCAAAATGGTGGTACTGCTGTTCGGGCTGTATCATGTTTAAATTTAGAAATAAAAATCTTTTCTGGAAAGGAACTTTTCAGTTCTCCCTAAGAAAAATCCAGTATTAGAATGTGGAAGACAAATCTTTGGATGACATAGCATAGGAAAGACATAGGCAAGAACCCTAACACATTGTCTGGTATCTCCTTCAGTGGTTTCAGTAACAGTTTCTTTACCGTGTAGAATTTTAGATCTGGAAGGTAACCTTAACAGAACATCCAGTTTAATCTTCTAATTTCACAGCTGAGGAAACTGGTGCTCAGAAGGGGTCACAGCTTGTTAGTGGCAGAACCAAGAGTGAATGACCTCGTCCTCTGGTCTCACTTGAACAGCCTTCCTCTGAGGGGAAGGATGTTCTGGGCTCATTTTGTGCATTTTCTTGCAGTTTTTGTCACTGTCTTTTAGTTTTATCCTTAAGTATCTGGAATGTGTTACAACATTAAATCATTCGAGTTGGACTGTTCTGTCAGCACCATGCACACATTGGCTTCACCAAATGAGTGAGGATCCAATTTGGCACATGGATTTGGAGATAACTGCTCTTTAAGGTAATATATCAGCTGAAGTGGTTTTTATCCCCCTCCAGCTGTCCTCTGCCCCCTTCTATTATAGGATCTTTTGAAGGAATAAAATGTTTTTTTCCCTTGTACTCTTCTTTCAGCTTTTAAATTTACTTTTTTCTGACCCCTTATTTTTGTTTAGTTAATAAAACTCTTTGTTTCTTTTTAACCTCATGAGAGGACCTCACATCAGTGTAATTATTTTGTCAAATATGAAACACATCTATTGTCAAAGAAAAGAAATGAAAAATAATGTTCTGTGTCCTAAAGTGAATAATTAAGCAGATATGTTAACTGTTATGGATGAAAGGTTATAGTCACAGATTTTCCAATCTTTGATACATATTGTCATCTTGGCTCTACTGTTTTAAAAAATAATTGTTTTTGAAACTGATGCCTTTTAATGTAAGAATTTGACTGACGATGGCAGTGTTTCCTTGGCAGTGAACTTGAGTGCCTCAAAGTGTCATCAGTCATATTCTCACTCTTGTGAGTGACAGAGAGTCAGGGGAGAGCCTGCCTATGAATTTTCTTTGCTGGGAAATAAACTTGTGTTAATTTATTCTTTTTGGATGAATTAAAAAAAAAAGTGACATGAAGCATGAAGGAGGGTGCGGTCCAAGTTGCTAATGTCATTCTGACACAGGCCCTCCTTACTGCTTTGGGCTTTTCCTGCTACAGAGGCAAGTCTGCAAAAGACTGGCCCAAAGCCGTGTTGTTATGTTGTTTCCCCTCTGTCTGAAAAGGGGATTTGGGCATAGCAGGTTCAGGGAAAAGTGATGCTGTGTGGTTTTTCTATGGTCATGAATTAGTTACAAGCCCCAGGGAGGCCCAGTGGGGCAGGCTTGTTGGGTGACTTGTCCATCCTGTTGAGGAGACTCGCTGTGGACTAGAGTTTGTCCTGCCTTTATTTGTAGATAAAACCACTCAATCAGAGTGTAACATTTAAGGGGCTTGTGCTATTTGGCAAGTGGTTTTTAAAAAAGTCATTGAAGAGGAATCAATCTTGAACCTTATTTTCTTCTATTTACACTTTGCTCTTATATGATCCTTTTTCACTTTTCACTTATGAAGTATTACTTGCTAATCTCAGGGATGATCTGAATGAAACCAATCCATAGCTGTCTTCAGAATGATTCTTCCTGTTTTTCTTCACATCACAGTTCTGGGAATGGTGGTACATTTTATCCCAGTCCAGGCAGATCTGCCATTCTCAACCACAGCTACCACTCGGGGATAAATTTTCTGTCCTCTCAGTTATTTATTGGTTCTAGTTTTCTCTCTCTCACTTTGTATCCCTCACTCTTCCTTTCTGTCTCTTAATGCATTGTCTTCTATATCCCCTACCCCTTTTAACTTAATTTTAGAATGTGAATGAACAGAATGATCTGTCACAAGCGCTGCAGGATGAAGGGCTGGTGGAGGAGAGCTGGCGGGAGAGGACTCTGAAGAGGACAAGGAGGAGACCCCCAGAGGCTGTACCTGCCTGGGGAAAGGGCCTGCCTGTCTGTGGGCACTCAGTCAGAGAAGCAGGGGATGGGGTCTGCTGAGGGCCAGTAAATGGAGTAGGGCGGTAGGAATCAGATATTACAGGAGTAGGAGTCAGAATCCTAGGTGTCCTTCCCTGCCAGGGCATTCAGCAGCTGCAGGACACTTAGGTGGGCACTTGGCTCCCTGGTAACTAGTAAATTAACATATCGGCTTAACTATTCCACTTTGGGGCCTAGAACATTATTTTTCATTTCTTTTCCCTCCTCACTAATAAAGTAATGGAATAAGTACCCACTCTGTCTCTCTTGACAGGCTTCTTGTGAAGGTGAAATAAAATAGAATGCTCATGAAGGCCCCTTGCCAAGGTTAAGCCCAGTGTGTCCTGGGGAAGTGGTGTGGCGCACTGCCTGTCAGACTGGGCTTTTTAGTGGGCCATTTGTCCCTTCCTTATGGAGGGGTGGGTAAGTGAAAGGTTATTTGTATACTAAAATAATCCCATGCATGTTGTGTTATAGTATACAACATTTGTCTATGTTTTGGAGATAAAATATAACATGGTCAAGGTGCCATTTATATCTGTGTCCTTCTTGTGTCCTAGGTAACTTATTTACCTACTTTTATTCATTAGAATATTTCAGTGACAAACTTGGAGAACTGCTGGGATAGCCAAACGCCTTTCTGTGTAGGAGTTAGTGAACTTGCACCCAGATGCCCTTACTAAGCTTCCCTGGGCCTACTTTCCTTGCCTGTGCTGTGCAGGTATTAAACAGGTTTTAGTGTGGATTAAATGAGATGACATCTGCACAGAGAGGCCGTTAAGATGTTGCAGTTCCTTCTCCCATTGCCATGGTGACAGTGATGCTGTGCAGTTCCTCATGGGGTTTTGAGGCAGACACTTTGGTATCAGCGGAGGTGGTCAGCAGAAGTCTTAAAAAGTGAGGGAGATGTAAGTTGGGTTCTGAAGAAGGTACGGTTTGGATAATGGACAAGAGGCCACTTCACATAGAGACAGAAATGGGGGTCGGAGCCAGGCCAGCACCTCCTGGCTTGGGGGGAGCATGGGCATGTAGATAGGATCCAGTGAAGCCAGTAGTGGAATGGGAGCCTGGGAAGTTATGTGTAGGTCACGAGTGGAGGGCCTTGAATGCTAGGCGCGGATGTGGGCACCCTCTTTTGGAGATGGTGGGGTTTCTGAAGGGCATGTGTAGTGGTGGGATGCAGTACTTACAGAGCAACTTTCCAAAATGAGCTGATTCTCAACCCCACCCCCTGCAACATGTGCCCAGGAAGATTGTCTTCAGCACAAAGTGGCAGCCACCC